TATTAGAAACCACACTCTTGGTATTGAAACTGGTCCATGCAAAGGTCCACGATCTGGAAATGCGAAAGACACCACTTGGGTCATCCGTGGGTTGACCGCAGAAGCGTCCAGGAATGCTCCTTTGGTCCTGCAGAATCCTCAGGGACGGCTGCGTGAAGCTGAAAATTAGACTCAACTAGTAGTAGTGCCCTTGTTACTATATAATAGCTTCTTGTTACTACTAGTAGGGCACCTTGCTACTAGTAGCTCTTATTATTTACACGCAAGTGTATATATATATATATATATAAGTGACTGTTGTGGCTCTACATCTTAGATGTTTTTGATACATGCAGAACAGCTACGATGAGCGTATCCGGAGGTCAGGTAGATTGCACATACTCGCCCAACTTCAGATTGCCCTGGTCACCTCAATGGCAGATAGCAGTGTTACAGCGTGCTTTGTCCGAAGAAAGCTGAAACCTGAAACATGAAAATATCGGATTGTGATCATGGTGATCCCATGAAGGTCAGGTGGACATGACAAGGGTTGAGAAACAGTGCAGAAATAGATCAGGCCAAGCGACTCCGTTTATCGTTGATCCACAAAACAAAAAGCCTTTTCCAGATATATAAGTGTCTCAGTGCTTCCATATTTATTCGCTTCACTGTCTTCTTGACACTTCTTTTCGAATGACAAGTTCCTGAGTACATTCACCAATCTTCAGAAAATGATCAACATGTGAACTGTTTTCTGATTTTTTTCCGTGTAATTGATGGTCGGCAGCTGGGCACCCCCATTAATGGTCGGCAGTTGTTTCATCCATCCGTGGCTCCCAGGTTTGAGGGAAGCGCCGCATCAGCGCGAGGGCCGTTTTGAAAAAAGGGCGAGGGCTTTGCTGACCTGTGGTGCCGATGGGAGGGATCCGTTCAAAGGATCCGATCGGTTCAGGATGCCAGTGAAACCTACTATATAGGTTTAGCATGGTTTAGCCACCTACTAGGTAGGGGTAGCCATCTATTAGGTAGTACCCCTAAGGTGTTGCAAGCTACCAAAAGACGTGGCGGGCTGTGTGCCCGCAGTGTTTCCTGCTGTTGTTTTTTAAAGATAATCATTGAATTTTTACCGTTTACCCTACACCATTAAGTGCCACAGATGGGAGGGAGGGAGGGAGGGAGAGAGAGAGAGAGAGAGAGACACACACACAAAGGAGAGAGGATTGTGGATTCCACTGTGTGTTGGATGAGTGTGAAAGCTTGTTTGGATTACTGTATATATATACACATATTTAGGCGCTTGTTTGGAGAGACATTCTGTTGTGCAATGTTTTGTGCATTTCTGATCACTCAGTTGCCTTTGCTTTCTTATGGTTTTGCTTTGGTGCTGTGCCTTTTTGCTGTACCTGCCGTGCCTTCCCTGTATTCTGCCTGCACCCCGCTCCGGTGAGAAGGTGGCATCATTGGCGGCTGGTCAGGACAGTTTGGCTTGGGTGAGACATTACTTTTTGTTTCATGTGCAAAGTATACATACAATATTCAGTGCAAAGAGGATGTTGTGAGTTTTTGGTTAAGGTTGGGTTTGAATTGTGTAAAAGCACAATGCAAACTCAGATGTCTCACACATGCCTTGTTTTGATGAATTTAGAAAACTTGGGGGGCAACCCTATACTTCAAACTACCATCCAACAAGTGATGACGATTTACAGTAAAAGGACTTTACTCTACTATTTCTTTAGTCTTTGCAGAACTTGGACACAAGGAACGTGACGTCATGCTGGACATTTTGTTCTCAAGCAATTTGTTTGAATGAAGGGAGCAAGATACAATAGATCAATCTACTGATCAAAGCCATAAAATGAATTCAGTCACAACATCACGCTGACTTGTGTAGGGAATCAACAAGTATCGCATGTTGCCCTTGTGTTATCCAACGTTTTATTGATGTACTAGCACCTGCCCCCGCATATATCTTAATTCTTAATTCTTTGGTCGAAACATAACTTGCGAAGCCACAGCTGAAAGCTTCCTGGTACAAGCGACAGAAACAGTAGAAACTTTTGAATACACCTTCACAGGCGTGTACAAATTGCCATGTGCTTCATTGTATGAGGCCAGCCATGTACTCAGCAGATCATGCAGCCAAAAGAAGGGCGAAGCGCACGGGCAATTATAGCCTTGCTAGATAGAGTGCTGTGTTTGTTTGCTCTCTTTATTCCAGCTGCGTTCAGCGTTCACAAGCGGCTCGTTTTTTAGAACTTGAGCGGTCAACTTAGATATATCTTTGGCGCGGGTTCAATCGGTTCAATATGGCGCCCTTGGATATTCGCCCAAACGTCAATCGAATTGAATGAGCGGATTCAATTCAAGCGAGTTCAAGCCGCAACTGTGCCGAAAGTATCCATTTGCCCTTCTATCGCCCTGCACCTGTGGACGTTGTCTATAAGTTGCCATCCAGTTTTTGCGCTACAGCACTGCTTTTCACAGATGTTTGCCACGGTCACTCTGGACCAAGTCGTTTCCGAATCTTGGCCTGCCCCGTGGAACATGTTTGTGTCACAGATCTCAGATCAGAGCAAAAGCGACGCAAAAAAAATATTGGCACCAACCCAGACTGCACTTGAACTTGCAACATCTTTCTTGCAACGACTCAACCAATTGGTTGAGTCGCCCTTGTTGCACCTTCTCGCCGCTTGTTCCAGCTGACCTGCAACGAGCATCCCAAATCTTTGCGCCGCATTGTGATGCTCTTACCCAACTTAGTTCAAAAAGCGTCTTAGTCCTGCACCGGATTTGCAACACGCCAGCTTTCAGAATAGCCACTTCACTTCAGCCACCATTTTGCAGTTCTTTCATTTGCTCTGCTTGGAGTGGACTGCAATTGCACCAACTCCCGCTTTAACTTTAGTCCCCACCTCAATGAGAGGGACGGCGACTCTCAAGGCGTTTCGAAGCTTCCAGAGCTTCCACCCTACGAGCCCCACACGCAAGTCTGATCTCGATGGCCAACAGCCAACTGGGCCAACGGCATCTTCATTTGATCGGACGGACTTCCACCCATTTGGTGATACACTGCCAGCATTAACAACTGAAAGCAAGCATGAACGACACATGCAGCTTGTGCACGGGATATTTTGACATATGTCATCACATCTATATATTTCATTTATAACATAATGTAGTCCTGCAGATATACGACTTGTGCAGCATTGCTCTGAAGGTTCACTGAAGGACTACAAAGTGCCCCACCAAAGCAACCCTGGACCATGCACATATCACAGGACAAATCAAATGAGTTGACCCCGAATCTTGTAGGGAGTCCATTGAACTAGCATTGCAATGAAGAAATGGAACAAAGCTGCCTCCTCACGGTAGAAGAGACCCATAATGACAAGATCCAGTCTAGCCAAAGAGATGAACATAAGCAACATCACATTGGCAAAGCAGACCTCGAAATCAATATGTCCTACTGTAAGTACTAATGGTGTTTGGTTTGCACAGTGAATGGAAACAGCATACAGCCACGTGGCCGACAGCAATCCGATAGACCCACACCAGGCATGCTTCTTGGTTGTGTTGTCCTCGCTTGGCCGAAGATCTGTGTCAGACTGATGGGTTGTCAAGTAGCAGTTCCGTACCGCCACCGCGCCACTATGCGCCACTGGCTGTTTGTCGAATGAGTTCACCAACAGTGGGTATGTATGGTGTCAACTTGCCAGCACCACTTGCGAAGTTCAGAAGCACCTTGTGGGCACA